TCTCTCTGTCTCTGTCTCTCTCTGTCTCTCTCTCTCTGTCTCTCTCTCTCTCTCTCTCTCTCTCTCTCTCTCTGTCTCTCTCTGAAATCTATTTTTTTCATTCTTTTTGTTAATGAGGGTCTTACGCAAGCTTCTTTATGCACTTGGCTTACCTCATTTTCCTTCTGTGAAATTTTCAACAGTGTCTAAGAAACCATATTTATGTTTTGTAAAGTTTAATTTCATTGTTTTTCAAACATTGTAAATGGTTGCTTTTAAGGACAAGCAGGCTAAACCAGATTTTGGCTGTTTCCAGAAATCCTTACCTACACCAAAAGTGGGCATTGTCCTACCTATAAGAGAAGTTTGGTTTCATTGGTGTGTATATTTGTTTGGTTATAGAGAAAACTCTCCTTGTCCTTTCAAGAAACGTTATAAGAGTCCAAAAACTTTTCCTTCGATTTCCTCACAACAGCATTTTTGGGGGATAGCCCCCTTGTGCTTAAAAGTGACCAAATCTGTCCAGCATTCACAGACAAATAGAAGGGTTGGCCTCCCTAATCCTTTTATAACTGTTATTTTGGTTAGGCTCCAGCAATGCACATAGTTTTACCATAGCTCACAAACAGAGCATAGCACGTAGGAGACGAGAAAAGTTGTACTTGGTTGAGTTTGAGTTTATGAATGATTTAAATTCCCTTTATTTCGCAGTTTCAACAACATTAAAAGTTTTAAAATTTTGCAGTTTTAAACGTCACTGTATTATAAACGTCCGAATAAGAACAACTGCGGAGGTGTTATTATTCTTAATCTTTTTTTTCATCTCTCTCCGTTTTCTAAAAATATAAAACAGAAATCACTTTCTGGGCCTTAAAAAATTGAAAGACAGTCTTTTTTTTACATTAGCACTAAACGTATCTTTTTTTTTTTTCTTAAAAAAAAATTTTTCTTTGCAAAGTCAAAGATAAGTGGCTCCCTGAACATGTGTCAGGAACAATGTACATGTCGGTCACACACCCAATTCTTAGTTTCTTAGTCCGGTTCTCTCCGGATCTTGTTACAGCTCGCTACAAAAATCGTTCCAGCCCGAAGTGATACGAATCCTGATATGAATACTCTTTACCCGTACTCGAGTGTTTTTCGAAAGGTTGAAAGGGGGGGGGGGGGGGGCTGCTGTGTTCGTATTTTGTCCAGAAGTCGCCACAGTCAATGCTGTGTCAAACATCAAAGCAGGCGCAAAGTGGTGGCAGTTTTTATATTATTCTATAGGTTTTTTTCTTACTCATGAGCTGCTGTTCTCTCTTTTTCTTGGAGGGGAGGGGGGAGGGGGAACTCTCTCACGAAACAACATTGTGATCTGAATGCTGTACGCCTTGAAGATATTTTCTGGATGAACGTCTGACGCTGTGTGAAACTGAATTTTGCATAAGGCTCAAAGTGGTAAGATTTCTGCCATTTCTCTCTCTTTTTGATCAAGAATCATGATTAATAAACTATTTTATGTATGTTTTTCTGTGAAAGTGGAAAAGTATTTATATCGTTATAAATTATAGGGCAATTTCTACAGGGTGAAATCTTTATCACGTTGTTATTACTCCAAATGTGCTGTTTGTTATAACTGTAGTATTAGTGGTACTGTTAGAACTGCTACTAATGCTGCAGCACCTCTTCCCCCTTCCTCCCTCTCTCCTCCATCACCTCCTCTTCTCCCCCCTCCTCTTCTCTCCCTTCCTCTTTATCCTTGTCCCCATCTCTCCCCCTCCGCCTCATACTCCTCCACGTCTTCGGCCTTCCTCCTCATCGCCCTCCTCATCTTCCCCTTCCCTCCTCCCCCCCCTCCTCCTCCTCTTATTACCCGACTTCACTAACGACGTATTATCCTTTTACTTCACACAACACCTCACTGGACACTCATTTCGGGGTTAGAAATTGTTCCAGGTGGCAAGCAAGTTGAAGAGAAAAGCACAGACAATACTAGAAGAATGATAGCAAACACTCAAGCTATGTCTATAAAATATCGACTACTAAGTGCAAGACACCACCATCAGCCTTTTTAAAAAACTTGGTAAGTGTTTTACGGCGCTCGCAACTGCATAAGGTCATATGAGCGCGCGGAACACACTAAACTTTTTTAGTGGGTAGGAAATTTTGAGTTTTGCCCAGTTAGCGGCTGAAGCCTACTCTTATCGATTTTTAGACCACCAATGTATCTTTAACGTGCGCAACTTGCACACGGGCTCTCCGAAATATTTTGCCCTTGTCCGAGAGGGCTAGGTGTAGATCTTTCCTACCAGTAGATCAGGGGTGTGGGCTGGGGAGTAGCAGTAGAAAGGCTGCAGAAAGAGCCAGGAGCCCAGAGGAGGGGGCAAAGGAGGTGAGGGGGTGGGGGCAGAACGTGGAAACGAAAGTAGGCGACCGAACATTGCTTGAGAGAAGGAAAGGAAGTGAAAGGAGACAATTTTAGAGAGGAAAATTTTTCGGTCGCTACCCGGATTCGAACCCGGGACCTTTCAATGAGAGGCCAACACCTTAACCTCTATGTCACGAAAGCCCCCATAAGCCTTTTTAAAAAGTGGGCTATGATGGATGGAGTCCTACTCTGGACAGTAGATTTTATTACCGTTCATGTAGAGAGATGTTGACATTTGAAGAGTCCACAGTAAAAACGAGCATAATCACAAACTGGAAATTGAGAAAGTGTCGACTTAAAAAGCTTTTGGACTCATAACTTCATGTTTGTTTGATTGGTGGTTTATTGTTATATTTGTTGAATGGGAAATCTAAAAACAAATATTTAAAAAAACCCAGTTGAACAGAAATACAGTTATGAGTCAACAAGCGTACAGAATTTATACCCTCACAATTTTCAGTTTGTGACAAAGCCACCCCCCCCCCCTCTCTGAGCTCTTCATTTGTTTTTGTCTTCACTTCGAGGTGCAAGTTTAAAAATCATATAATCATATAATAATATAGCTTGTCCAAATAATTCCTTGATATAAGAATCCAAGTTCTTTCCTTCCTTCCCTCCCTAAAAAATTTAATACCCCCCCCACCCTTTTCCAACACTCCCATCCCCAACACCCCCACCTGCCCACTCCTTTTGCCTACACCTATTTCACAGCTCAAGGTAAAGAAACAATATCAAGGAACCACATCTCATCTCCATCTTCACCCTCAGAAAATCCGACACCACCACCATGGCTACAACAGTTTCAAGACCCGCCAAAATCGTCCTTGAAGATCCCTCAGAGTTCCGTCCGGAGAACCAAGACGCTTCCGCCTTCCGGGACTTCCGGGTCCACAACGTTCCGGACAGAGTGAGGAAGACATATGACCTGATGCACACCAACCAGACGGTGGACTTTGTCAAGGTACTGTCTGTGGGCGCATAGTGAGAGTTGGAGGATGGATGAGTAATGCTAATGAATGAATGAATCAATCAATCAATCAATGGTAAAATACTATTATTATTAGTATCTTTAATGTGAGAGAGAAAGGGTTAGAGAGAGTTCTCTGGAGAGGCAGAAAGGGGAAGAGGATGAGAGAGAGAGAGAGA